CTCACATTACATAGGGCTTCACCTTGACTGGATCCCTTGTCATGGTCTCGATCTTGTGTTGCACAAGGTCTATCTTTGTGAAGACATCTGTATTATGGCATAGTAGATCTTTTAACTCTTTCTTCTGCTTGCCAGTCATTTATTTGCTGATGGTGACATCTTTGTATAACACATCTCCACTCGGTGGTCTAAGATCTGGTAGGTGTTCATCTTCTATGACTAAGTCACTGTCTTCTGGTTCTAAGTCTATGACAGCTACATCTGTCATGTCCATCTGTACCTCAATAGCTGCACCCACTATGTCGTCTTCCTTCTCAGAGTGCCTCTTCAACAGATTGGCGTGATAGATTTTGATCTTTCACTTTATAGTCCATTCTGTTGACCACTTCCTGTACTTCAAAAAATCCTTTCCACTGCAAGGTGAGTTTGTTGTCTGTAGGTAGCAGAACGAAGACCTTCCATCTGACCTTAAAACGTCGATACTTGGCCTTCTTGTCATAGAAGTACTTCTGACTGCCTTTGATGGGTTTAGCTTCCCCAGTACAACTGATTTGATAGATCCAGTACAGCACTCCTTTCTAGCCCTCTATTTTGTAAGTCTCTTTCACCTTTGTCTTGTACTTGACTTTCTCCTGGGCACTATCCCAAAGTTTCTGCAGTGAATCTTTGTGATTTTGTACTCACGTGCTGAAGTGTCCTATCAGCGAGTGCCAGCTGGGAAAATGTCACAAGCTCATGATTTGCAACCAACTGAGTCAGGGATTACAGACCAGCTCCCACGGTTCCAAACGTCAATGAGGGAGCATTCACATCAGCCTTTACACCTCCCTCCCCCTTCAAGTGGTCCTGGACCTAATCTCTACGAGCAAGTAACTTAGAGCTGCATATCATACTTCCAACCAAAATAAAAGAGCCCTCGGTGCTTCAGTAAATACCATCCTCACTATATCGCCACCAAGATCAAACAGCCAGATGGACAGAGGCCTGGGTACTATACATCCGGTATGAAGATGGTCTCTTAGAGCATAATGATTCTCTTTCACAACTAGAGGAAAATGCCACACAAGTACTATGGAAACAAACAGAAAGCTATCTATTATATTAGGTGGTGAAGAAATTAATGTCGCGTTGTGGAACACTTTCATTAACCATTCCCCCAAAAACGTACATCATGTATAATAGTTAAACGAACCACCTAAACGGCACGTTAGTGTAGCCTATATAATGTGTAAAGTTTAGTATACTCTGTTCCTTTATAGTGACGACACACATTCGGCATGTA